TTCTTCGCTATCTCATTATTCAGAAGAGTATTTAATTTGTGGTGAAGATAATGCAGTTTAACTCTGTATTCTGTATCTTTTTTGGCACTTTTCATTTTAAGTTCTTCTGCTTTTATTTGTGCCACAAGAGTTTCATATTTCTTTTTAGCTTGTTTATGTTTCCATGCACTCTGGCTAATGAACCAGCCTCTGATAAATGCTTTAAACGCATCCCAAACAGTTTCCATTTTCATCTCCGGTTGCATATTTCTTTTAAAAAAGAAATCTCTTCTTTAGTTTTTTTAACAAATTCCTGATCTCGAAGAATACTTAAATTCATTGTCCATCGTTTTTTTCTTTTGTGCCTCTTTTAAAATTAAGCTAATTGGGTTATGATCCGCAAATGTGTTTGGCAGGATCTCACATTCTATTACTTCGTGTATCGCTTTTTTCACCGTTACCAGGGGGTAGCTTTCTTTTTAAATTCTCGTTTCGCTTTAACCCGACTCACAGTTCATTGTTGGTCGTACGATCTTGCTCGGCACACGTTCGAAACGCTCTATCTCTGACGCTTGTCCCGGTCAGTGGATCTAGATCCATACGGACACTCAGCGACAGGACCATCGGAGCGCCTCAATTCCCTAGCATTGTTCTGGCGAAGAGGCCACCCCTTAAAAGCCCCATGGCTAGGAGCCTTTTGCCAAGGCTCGACCCGTCGCCCCCCCCCTTCCTTTCCGCTGGTGCGCAGATCACATCCCCGGGAAGTCCGGGAGATGCGTCCACCAGCGTGTCGCCATAAACCAGAAGTCAAATGCTAGATATTGTCAAACAAAGAAACACCGTGATAAAATTGACAATATTTAATGATTCTTATGAACATCAATTTGTGTATCTATTAAGACTTTTACAATACTGCTTAGGAAATTCTGACATTTTCAAGGGAAAGTCCAACATCAGCATATCCTCAATGAGCGCCCAGTTGACCACTCATTTCACGGATCTTCCTCAGGAGTAATATTGTCAATTTTATCACAGTGTTTCTTTGTTTGATAGTATGAACCTGTTACTGTTGAATAGTGACTGGTTGCTACTACTAGAGATTGAATGGTTGGCTTGCTCCTAATTCAAGCACTTGCAATGGAACTGGAAGTAAGTTTAAAATCATTCAAGTTAAAAATTATTGATATTTTAAAAAAATTAGAACAAAACTATATTCCTTTCAGCTTCATGTCTCTTTCTATTCTAAATAACCATGTTTGTTTCAGGATAATATGAAAAAGAAGTTAAGCGGCAATAATTTGAAGTAAAAAAGAGGTTCAACTGTATCAAAAAGAAGTTAAATTGTATCAAGAGGCGGACACCTTCCAAGCTTATAGGTTTACTCCAGAGGAATATCCATGAAATGAGTGGTCAACCGGGCACTCATTGAGGATATGATGATGTTGGACTTTCCCTTGAAAATGTCAGAATTTCCTAAGCAATATTGTAAGTCTTAATAGATACACAAATTGATGTTCATAAGAATCTCTCCTTATAATAATTGTGTTTTCGGGTGGCCACTGTCCTATGGGGTGGCAAGAAAAAATGCGCTCCCTCAGCCATTTGCCCATCGGCTGCCGCTCGGGGCAACCGGCGTGCCATTTGCTGGGTAAGGGGGGGGGAGGGACGAGCCTCACCGCCTTGGCCCGCGCGGACCTGGAATGGGTGGCAAGTGGCCAGTCGAGAGATGGACAAGGCTGCGGCGGGCGATAGGTGTTGAGGTGGCCACGTCGCACTTCCCTTGCCCGGCCTGGCCCGGGGAAGCTGTGCACCCTTCTTCGGGGACGGGGGGGTTCCCTCAGCCGGGCCCGGCTGCGCTTGGGGAGAAGGGAAAGCGGCTGCGCCACGCTTCCCTCACCCGGCACGTGGGAAAACCTCCAAGGCGGCCGAGCGGGAGCAGCTGCCCAAAGACCCCCGCCCCCTCCTCGCCCGCACGCTGAGGCAAGCGAGCCGAGAAGGGGCCGGGCAGCCCTTTGCAGCCCTCCCCGTTAGTTCTCCTGCCCTCCCACTGAGGCGGCCGGGCAGGAGAGGCCAGTCAGAGCCCCCCCCCAACCCCATCCTGGCCCAGCCGCCGAGACCATCAAGCCAGCAGGGGCCCGGGGAGCCCTTGCAGGCTCTCTCCCTGGGTTCTCCTGCCCTTCCGCCCGGTGGCCACCCAGGAGAAGCCGCTCAGAGGCCCTCCGCCCGCGCCAACAGAGGAGGGACGAGGCCGGCTGGCTTGCCCTGCCGCCTCCAGCGCACAGCGGGGGGAGGCACGAGCCTGGCTGCCGGGGAGCCACCGCGTTCTCCTTTGCAAGTGCGGGGGGGCCCCCCCTCCGGTCTAGAGCCCATTCCCTCTCTTCCTGCAACAGGCCTTGCACCTAGTTATTAAATATTGTCAATCTTATCACAGTTTCTTTGTTTGATAGTATTAGCTAAAGGGGTCGGCTTGCTCTGCTGGCTGGAGTGGACTGAGGATGCCTTCGCGTCCCCCATTTCTCTGCTCACTGATAATCATCTTATTTCGGCTGCCATCGAACCAAAGCTGGGAAATTGCTATTGTGAACAGAACGTATTACGGCCGTGCAGGGTGAGGTTTATGCAGGTCATGGCAACCCCTCCCTTGTAACTATGCTGACTGCTGCTCGTTTTTGCGAGTTCATATTTCTACTCAGTGTTTTGCTTCGTAGCAGGGGACCCCAACACAGAGCCCGCCAAGTGTCTTTAGAAAGCTACGGCTGTCCATAATGAGATGCAAAAAAACTTAAAAGGTACTTTCAAAAAAGAACCAGAAATATTGCTTCTGGGTCTTAAAATGGAAGACGTTAATGTAACAAAAAAGACATTGTTATGGTATTTGATCACGACTGCGAGAATGACGTATGCACAATACTGGAAACAAGATAAAGTGCCAAAAATATGGGACTGGATAAAAAAAATGCTTTTTATGGCTGAAATGGACAAATTAACAAGGAAACTTAATGGCAAGGAAGATCAAGAATTTTATGAAGAATGGAAAGACTTTAAGGAATATGTAGAAAAAACTTAGGATGTGAAAAATGATTTAATTTGTTTTGATAATTATTAGAATGGACTAAGACTGGACTAAGTAAAAATAATCTAATAGAATGCTGTAACCAAGTAAAGTTACCTGAACATGAAGACATAATAAGTTAAAAATTTAGCTAGAAAATAAGATAAGAGATTAAAGGGGAAATCGCACTGTGGGAAGCCATGTAACGGGGGGAGGGGAGTTAATGGAAAATGGATATATACAAACGAAATGATTAACTATGTTATGTATGAATAAGAGGATATATCCTAATAAAACTGTTTTAAAAAAAAGAAAGAAAGCTGGTGGGGCTTCTGCCTAGGAGGGTTTTGATTGGCCACTGGAGATCTCGCTGCCTATGTAGATTCGGAAAAACAAACGTTGCTTTAGGTGGCAACCAACGTTCCCTCTAAGCTGCGGAGCCTTGTGAGCAAAAATCCTACTTTGTGAGCTACTGTCATTAAAGTTGTGAGTGAACGATATGGCTACTGCCTGAATTCGTTTGCTCTGGAGCCCTCCTTCCTGAGCCAAGGCGAAAATATCTGAGCTGGAGGCTAAAAAAACTGTGAGCTAGCTCACGCTAACTCAGCTTAGAGGGAACGCTGGTGGCAACTGCCACCACGTCATAAGCAATGCTCCCTCTAAACTGAGGAGTCTTGTGAGCAAAACCTCTACTTGGTGAGCTGCTGGCATTAAAGTTTGTGAGCGAGCCATTTGGCCACTGTATATGGTCACAAGGATCTTCACTGCGTGACGGGAAGGTGTAAGGAGGAAAATGAATGGAAATCTGTCCACCTTGTGATCGGAGGACAGATGGGCTCACATTCTAGCAGTACCTGACGGGAGTGATCAGTGACTCAGGAAAGCTCCCACCAATACTCACTCTAAGCTGTGGGGTCTTGCGAGCACAAATCCTACTTTGTGAGCTACTGGCATTCAAGTTGTCAGCGGGTGATTTGGCGACTGCATCAATTAGTTTGCTCTGGAGCCCTCCTTCCTGAGCTAAGGCAAAAACGTGTGAGCCGGAGGCTAAAAAACTGTGAGCTGGCTCGCACTCACTCAGCTTAGAGGGAACACTGCACACACTAAATAATCCAATTGCAATGCACTTTCCAACCGGTTTATTGGTGGGGAAGGGGCTTGTTATTTTAACTTCCATGAAGAAGGATGAAGATGGGTAGCTATGTTAGTCTGTGGCAGTAGAAAAGAGCCAGAGTCCAGGAGCACCTTCCAGACTAACCAAATCTGTGGCAGGGGGGGGGGGGGTGTGGGGGGGGGGTTCCCCCTTCCGGGAGGAGCTTTCGTGAGTCACTGCTCACCTCTTCAGGAATCTGCCACAAATTTTATTAAGTCTTTAAGGGGCTACTGGACTCTTGCTCTTTTCTACTGCTACAAACAGACTAACACGGCTACCCGTCTTGATCAATCTCCAGGGAAGGCACCGTACAATCTCCAGGGAAGGCAGCTGTACAGAACAGAAATCCAACTAGATCTAATGGGTGGGAATTACAAGGGAGTCGTTGTAGAAGGACAGATGAACTCGCATTCTAGCTGTACCTGAAGAAGTGAGCGGTGACTCAGGAAAGCTCCTCCCCTGCCACAAACGTTGTTAAGTCTTTCAGATGCTCCTGGACTCTTGCTCTTTTCTACAGGTACAGACAGACTAAACGTGGCTACCCTGTCTGGATCTATCTCCATGGAAGGCACTATATTTAGCCGTACGGAATGGAAATCCATCCGCCTGGTGATCACAGGACAGATTCTAGCTGTATCTGAAGTAGTGAGTGGTGACTCACGAAAGCCCCTCCCCTGCCTCAGATTTCGTTATTCTTTAAGGTGCGCTTGGACTCTCGCTCTCTTCCCTGTTCTCCGCTCAGATTTCTCAATCCGTTGCACTGAAGCCGCTAGGAAGAGAGAATCGCGCCCTGAAAGCCACACGGCGTTTCCTTACAAGCATTTTTGCTGGCGTTGTCCATGGCGGTCATCCTGGCGCTCTGCTCGCTGGTGGTGGACTCCTTCAAGGAGTAGAAGATGATGTTGGCCAGCGTGAATTCCTGGTAGTTCCGCAGGACGTCGGCATCGATGTCGTCGTAGATGCTAATGCTCTCTGCAGAAGCGAGCCCGGCAACCGAGAAAGAAGAAAGTTAGCTTGAGTTTGGCGGGGGAACGGGACAAACCTTATAGGTCGAAAAGAAAGTTCAAACTGAGGTACGAGTGAATTTCAAAATTCTGGATTAGCAAATAATTAATTAATAATAGTTTTTATCAGGGGTCATTTCCTGTGGGAGCGCACAGGAGCGGAGCTCTGGCAGTAAGGAGCCCGTGAGATGGGTAAATGCAACACGCCCCCCCCTTCAGGTATAAGCTCTCCCTCCTCTGCGAGGGCAGATCTGCACTTTCCGTCCCCACCCCTCCAATAGCTAGCAATCCAAAACAGTCCAGTGGAGCCTGAGCGGTGGGTGTTGCCTTCTGACACACTTCCGGTGATGTCAGGGGTGTGTGGCATATGCAAATAAGTTATGCTAATGAGCTATGCTAATGAGCTCCTGCACCTCTTTTTCTACGAAATGACCCCTGGTTATTATCATATGGTATTGTGTGTCGTATAGCCAGGAGAGACTAAGATTGTCTGGCAGTCTGAAGTTCTAGCTCTTTTAGCATTATGCACCAGTAGGCTGCAAGCTAGACTTCTTTTTTGGGCTGAGAGAGCTCTGAAAGGGCTGTGACTGGCCGACGGTCACCCGGCAGGCTTTGCGTGGAGGAGCACAGAATTGAACCTGCCAAGTGCTAGCTCTGGACTTACCGGCACCTGAAACCGTCTCGAGAGAATAGATTGGTTTCTCATCTGTCTTGTAAGAGATAACAGACCTGCGGTAAAAGGAATACATTTCTGAATAGATTGTACTGGCTCAAAAGAACCTGTCTTTAAAGGCTGAAATTGCTTCTGTTCTGTGTTCACACATGCACACAGCTAGGGCACAAGCCTTGATTTAAGATACTGAGAACGGAAACCCATTTCCAGTCTCACTTTATTGGTGTAGTAGAAAAGAGCTAGAGTCCAGGAGCACCTTAAACAACATTTGTGGCAGGGTAGGAACTTTTGTCAGGCACTGCTCACTTCGTCAGATATCTGTGACTCAGGAAAGCTTGTCCCCTGCCACAAATCATAGAATCATGGGACGTTAGAGCTGGAAGGGACCTTGCGGGTCATCTAGTCCAACCCCCTGCACTCTGCAGGAGCATAGCCGAAAGAGAGCCCTACAATATACCCGAAAGACGGTCGCCCAGCCTCCGCTTGAAAACATCCAGCGAAGGAGCATCCACCACCTCCCGAGGCAGACTGTCCCACTGCTCAATCACTCTCACAGTTAGGAACTTTCTCCTGATATTCAGCCGGTAACGACTCCCTTGTAATTCCCACCCATTAGATCTAGTTGTTAGTCTTGAAGGTGCTACCGGACTCTTGCTCGTTTCTCCTCCTACAGAGACTAACATGGCTACACATCTTTACTGGTGCAGCAAGGAGGCACCTAGCCTTTTAAATGTCCAACCTGCAACATTACAAGTTATGAAAAACATCTTCGCTATTCTGTACACTCATTTACTGCCCGCCCTCTATATGTATGACTATTCTACAGCTGCAAATGGAGAAAACAAATCTGGTCCTACGGTTTCATGGGGTCCCAGAATCGAAAGGAGAGAATCTAAAGCAACTCCTGAGTGAAGCATTAGCCCCAGTTACAGATTTGAAAGCGGAATATCTTGCAAGTGAAATGGATGTGGTCTATAGGTCCTATTCCGTGTACATCCAAAAGAACAATCTGCCTGGGGAAATAGTGGCTAGATTCTCAAAGCGACATGTGAGGGATTCTATCCTGAAAGGAACTACAGGAACACCCTTGAAAATCGGGGACAGCGCCATTAGGACTTTAAAAGACATTCCATTTGAAATAAGGCAAAAGAGAAAGAAATATAAAGACCTAATCCCTTTTCTACAAACAAACAGCATTGTTTACAGATGGTTCGTGGTATCTGAGGAAGTGTGTGTGCACACGAAAGCTCATAACCAATAAACCTTTGCTGGTCTTAAAGGTGCTACAAGCCTCAAAATTTGTAATCCTACCAAGACAGAGGTCCTCTGGGTTAGCAGAAATGCAGACCAGATGGATGGGGCTATACTTTCCTTGAACAGCCAGGTTCACACCTGGAGGAGGAGCATAGCCGAAAGAGAGCCCTACAACATACCCAACATACAACATACATGGCAGTCACCTTAGAAAACCAGGCGGCTGCAGTGGCCCAGAATACGTTTGCCCAGCTTTGGCGGGTGCATCAGCTGTGGCCATTTCAAGGTCCATCAGATCTCACCGGTGATCCACGCATCAGTTACATCTAGACTGGACTACTGCAATACGCTCTGTTTGGGGCTATCCTTGAAGAGTGTTCAGAGCCTGCAGCTAGTGCGGGATGCTGAGCCTAGACTGCTAAGTGGGGCCAGCTTTTGGGACCAAGTGACCCTAATATTACAGCAATAACAACATAAGTAGAAAAGAGAAGCCGATGTTGGATCAGGCCCGTGGCCCATCCAGTCCAACACTTTGTGTCACACAGTGGCCAAAAATACCAGGTGCCATCAGGAGGTTCATCAGTGGGGCCAGGACACTAGGAGCCCTCTCACTGTTGCCCCCCCCCGCACCAAGAGTATAGTACATCACTTGCCCCAGACTGAGAGTCCCTATCTATACCCTGTGGCTAATAGCCACTGATGGACCTCTGCTCCAGATGTTTATCTAATTCCCTCTTGAGGCCGTCCATGCTTGTAGCCAGCACCACCTCCTGTGGCAGTGAATTCCAAGTGTTAATCACTCTTTGGGTGAAGAAGGACTTCCTTTTATCCATTCTAACCCGACTACTCATGGAGTGCCCACGAGTTCTTGTCTTGTGAGAAAGGGAGAAAAGGACTTCTTTCTCGACCTGCTCTATCCCATGCATTACACTGCATTACACTGGCTACTGATCCACTCCCGAGCCCAATTCAAAGTGTTGGCTTTCACCATTAAAGTCCCACTAGAGTATCTGAAGGACCGTCTTCACACATATGTTCCTGCCCAGGGATTAAAATTTTATTTTATTATTTTATTAAATAATTGCAGGGATTGCAGGGAGAGGCTTTCCTAACTGTCCTGTCAGTCAAAGAAGCTCATCTGGTGGGTACACAGGGCAGGGCCTTTTCAGCAACAGCCCCACGGTTATAGAATAACCTCTGCAGAGAGCTGCACCTGGCCCCCTCACTGTCTACCTTCAGCAGACAGCTGAAGATGGCTTTGCTTAGAAATGCATTTGATTAAAGCAGTCCTAAGCAGTGTTCCCTCTAAGCTGCGTTAGTGTGAGTTAGCTCACAGCTTTTTAGCCTCTGCCTCACACACTTTGATCTTTGCTCAGGAAGGAGGGCTCCTGAGCAAACTAATTTATGCAGCAGCCAAATTGCTCGCGCACAACTTTAATGCCGGTAACTCATAAAGTAGAATTTTTGCCCACAAGACTCCACAGCTTAGAGGGAGCATTGGTCCTAAGTTGCGATTTTAAAGCTTACTTTTTGGGGGGGGGGGGGGGTTGTACCAGTAGAAAAGAGCAAGAGTCTTGGTCTATTGTCATTTGCCTGCTAATGTCATCCGGCATCTGAAGTCACACCACTTTCCAACATATGGGACAAAGGGACTCCCAATTCTAGCTGTATCTGAAGAAGTGAACAGTGACTCCCGAAAGCTCCTCCCCTGCCACATGTTTTGTCAGTCTTTAAGTCTGCGGTGGCTCAAGTGGTTAAGATGCTGAACTGCAGGCTATGGAAGGTCGGCAGTTCAGCAGTTCGAGACCCGAGTGTGCCGCATGACGGAGTGAGCTCCCGTCTCTAGTTCCAGCTCCTGCCAACCTAGCCGTTCGAAAGCAAGGAATTGCAAGTAGATAAATAGGTACCACTTCGGTGGGAAGGTCACAGCGTTCCGTGCGCCTTGGTGTTTAGTCATGCCGGCCACAGGACCACGGAAACGTCTTCGGACAGCGCTGGCTCTTCGGCTTGGAAACGGAGATGAGCCAGCGCAACCCTAGAGTCGGATTTCGAGCAAGGGAACCTTTACCTTTAAGGGGCTACTGGACCCTTTTGCTCTTTTCTGCTACAGACAGATGAGCGTAGTGTCAGCTCGCTGCCATGAAGGCTGGTGTGGAGGGGGAAGGGATTACTTGGAATGTTACCTTCACTTCCATGCTGTCTGAATGATGCTCCCTTATCATTATGGTTGTAACATCATCCCTGGGAATGAGTTGCCGTTATGTTCCGGCGGGCCTCGCTTGTTACCTTGATTGGCTCCCTGCCGCCTGGTGACCCTCTCTGAACCCTGTATATCTGCCCACCCTGCGCTTTTTGCTTTAGTCTTCACACAGATCCGGATGTAGAGATGCCCTGCCAATACTGTATCAATAAACCTTTCTTCTAAAGAAGCAAGTCGTCGATTCTGATTGTTGCAGGAGTCTTAGACACACAGCTACCCGTCTTGATCTATGTTCTTTTGCGTAAATCATTTAATGTATTTGATAAATACTGTAAGTCGCCTTGAGCTCCGTATGGAACAAAGGGAGCTAATACGTATTTTCAAGAAAGAAATAAACTTTGGGGACTCGTTTTGAGAAGACACGAATAGAGAAGAGAAGAAGAAGAGATTGGATTTATACCCCGCCCTTCACTACCCAAAGGAGTCTTGGAGTGCCTTACAAACTCCTTTCCCTTCCCCTCCCCACAACAGACACCTTGTGAGGTAGGTGGGGCTGAGAGAGCTCTTGACAGAAACTGCTCTTGAGAGAAGAGGAGATTGGATTTATACCCCGCCCTTCACTACCCAAAGGAGTCTCAGAGCGGCTTACGAACTCCTTTCCCTTCCCCTCCCCACAACAGACACTCTGTGAGGCAGGTGGGGCTGAGAGAGCTCTGACAGAAACTGCTCTTTTTTCAAGAACAGCTCTGACAGAACTATGGCTTGCCCAAGGTCATCCTGCAGCTGCAAGTGGAGGAGTGGGGAATCAAACCCGGTTCTCCCAGATTAGAGTCCGCGCACTTAACCACAACACCAGACTGGCTCTACCAAACCCTGCCTTCGCATCTGAATCCTTGTCTTCTGCTAGGCAACGCTCCTGGCCGTCCATCGAGTCCGACCTGCGTTCTTTGCCCGCCAACCTGAGTTCTGCGGAACCCCTCCTGCTAGGAATGTCATGTTCCCAAAAGAGCTTTTCTGCTTCTCTTGCCTGAACCGATTGTAGATGACCGATCCCTCGTCAAATTCATATCCCGAGTTCAGTAGCTCCAAGGTGATGATGGAAGCATCTCCGAAAGTTGGGGGCTTTCTTCCGACTTCTTTGAAGCTCAGCAAGAAGTTACTGCCGTGTGTCCTGGAAGGAAAATAAGATGGTGTATAAAGGCAGCCCCTGATCCAAGGAAGGTCATAGAATCAGAGTTCAAGGTGGCCATAGAGGCCATCTAGTCCAACCCCCTGCTCAGTGCAGGATCAGCCTAGAGCAGGGGTGTCAAACACTTTCCACCACCAGGGGGCAAAGCACTGTAAGCAGTGAAGTGGCTAAATTTGCGGATGATACGAAGTTGTTCAGGGTGGTGAAAACCAGTGAGGATTGTGAGGCACTCCAAAGGGATCTGTCAAGGATGGGCAAGTGGCCGTCAACGTGGCAAATGGGGTTCAATGTGGCCAAGTGCAAGGTGATGCACATTGGAGCCAAAAATCCTAAATATAAATACACGTTGATGGGGTCTGAACTGGCAGAGACTGATCAAGAGAGAGATCTTGGAGTTGTAGTAGATAACTCACTGAAAATGTCGAGACAGTGTGTGACTGCAATAAAGAAGGCCAATGCTATGCTGGGGATTATTAGGAAGGGTATTGAAAACAGATCAGCCAGTATCATAATGCCCCTATATAAATCAATGGTGCGACCTCATTTGGAATACTGTGTGCAGTTCTGGTCACCACATCTTAAGAAGGATATTATAGCTTTGGAAAAAGTGCAGAAAAGGGCAACTCGAATGATAAAAGGGTTGGAACACTTTCCCTATGAGGAAAGGTTAAGGCGCTTAGGGCTCTTTAGCTTGGAGAAACGACGACTGAGGGGTGACATGATCGAGGTTTATAAGATTATGCATGGGAAAGAGCAGGTAGAGAAAGAGGTACTTTTCTCCCTTTCTCACAATACAAGAACTCGTGGGCACTCCATGAAATTGCTGAGCGGTCGGGTTAGAACGGATAAAAGGAAATACTTCTTCACCCAAAGAGTGATTAACACTTGGAATTCACTGCCACAGGAAGTGGTGGCGGCTACAAGCATGGACGGCTTCAAAAGGGAATTAGATAAGCATATGGAACAGAGTTCCATCAGTGGCTATTAGCCTCAAGGTATAGATAGGGACTCTGGGGAAAGTGATGCTGTGTCTTCTTGGTGCTTTGGGGGGGGGTCAACAGTGGGAGGGCTTCTAGTGTCCTGGCCCCACTGCTGGACTTCCTGATGGCACTGGTATTTCTGGCCACTGTGTGATACAGATTGTTGGACTGGATGGGCCTTTGGCCTGATCCAACATTGGCATCTCTTATGTTCTTACGTTCTTAAAATTCCACGGACCGGTTTCTACAAGAGCATAGAACACTGGGCACTGTGGCCAGGAGCCTGTGCGTAAGAACATAAGAAGAGCCTTGCTGGATCAGACCAGTGGTCCATCTAGTCCAACACTGTGTCACACAGAGGCCAAAAGCGAGGTGCCATCAGAAGGCTCCCCAATGGGGCCAGAACTCTAGAAGCCCTCCCACTGTTGCCCCAAGCACCAAGATGACAGAGCATCACTGTCCCAGACAGAGTGCTTCCTCTACCCCTTGTGGCTAAGAGCCACTGATGGACCCCTGGCTCCAGATGTTTCTTCAATCCCCTCTTGAAGCTGTCTATGCCTGTAGCTGCCACCAGTGTTCCCTCTAAGCTGAGTTAGTGTGAGCTAGCTCGGTTTTTCAGCCTCTGGCTCACACATTTTTGTCCTAGCTCAGGAAAGATGGCTCCAGAGCAAACTAATTGATGCAGTCACCAAAGCACCTGCTCACAACTTTAATGCCAATGGCTCACAAAGTAGAATTTTTGCTCACAGGACTCCATAGCTTAGAGGGAGCATTGGCTGCCACCACTTCCCGTGGCAGCGAATACCACGTGTTCATTCCTCTTTAGGTGAAGAAGAGTTTCCTTTTCTCTGTTCTAAATGGGAAATATGGCATCTCTGGCCCTACCCAATAAACTGTGCCTTCAGCGACCATTCAGCAACTACTCTGCCGGACATCTCAACCCTGAACGCATCAACCTGATCTTCAGGCCGCTTCTTCAGAAACAGGTACGCTCGTTCGAAATCCTAAACCATCCTGGATTCCGCACAGAGCTCTTATCGTCACGCTACCTTTGGAGCAAGCCTCGGAGCTTGTCCCCCACGCCGACCACCATGACTTCTTTGCCAGCGTTCGTAAGAGTCGAAATTTGACTCTTGATGTTCTTGGCCACGGAAGTGTGGATAGCGCCACAGAGTCCACGGTCGGAGGACACCCCAATAAGAAGGTGTTTCTTCTTGTCTTCGGCCGCCTTGATTTCAGCCTTCTCATAGAGAGCTGCGAAAGGAAAGGGGAAAACGTCAACCAAAAACAATGCCTAGAGACCGGCAAAAGACGGCAGACCCTGGAAAATGTCTCAGGGAGGAGGAGGAGGAAGAGGAGGAGTAGAGATAGGATTTACACCCCGCCCTTCGCTCAGAGCGGCTTACGATCTCCGTTCCCTTCCTCTCCCCACAACAGACACCCTGAGAGGTAGGTGGGGCTGGGAGAGCTCCGAGAGAACTGTGACTGACCCAAGGCCACCCAGCTGGCTGCATGTGGAGGAGCGGGGAATCCAACCCGGTTCTCCCAGATCAGAGTCTGCCTCTCTTAACCACTACATCAAACTGGCTCCCTATTTAAGATGGAAGGTTGCATCTCACTGTTTCTCTGTGGGTTGTTGCGAGTTTTCTTTTTGGCCACTGTGTGACAGAGTGTTGGACTAGATGGGCCATTGGCCTGATCCAACATTGGCTTATTTTATGTACTTTGGTATTTGTGTGTGCGCCTGGAAGTCACAGCTGACTTCCAGCGACCCCTAGTGGGGCACGGGCACTTTGGAGTGGTGGCTTACGATTGCCTGCCCCTGCCTCCCATCCCTGGTATTCCTTGGAGGTCTCCCTTCCAAGTCCTTGCCAGAGTCGACCCTGTTTCGCTTCTGAGATCTGACAAGATCGGACTTGCCTGGACCACCCGGGTCAGGGCTCATCTCACCACTGCTTTGATCGGGTACCATCATCGAGTCACAATGGAGGGACCAAGAGAATTCAAGAATGGAGGTTTGCTTTCGCCCTGACCTTGACAGCCCAACCTCCTCAGATCTCGGAAGGTAAGCGGGGTCAGCCCTGTTTAGTACTTGGATGGGAGACTGCCAAGGAAGTCCAGGGTCACGATGCAGAATCAAGCAACGGCAAGCCATCCCTGGACATCTCTTGCCTTGGAAATGCCATGGGGGTCGCTGTACGTTAACTGTGACTTGAGGACAAGAACAAAAAAAAAAGTTCGCCCTCTGGTATATCAGAATTAGTAAAGGTAAAGGTCCCCTTGCTCGAAAGCCAGTCGAATCCGACTCTAGGGTTGCGGTGCTCATCTCCGTTTCAAAGCCGAAGAGCCAGCGCTGTCCGAAGACGTTTCCGTGGTCATGTGGCCGCCATGACTAAACGCCGAGGCACATGGAACGCTGTTACCTTCCCACCGAAGCGGTACCTATTTATCTACTTGCATTTTCTTGCTTTCAAACTGTTAGGTTGGCAGGAGCTTGGGCCAGAGACGGGAGCTCACTCCGTCACGTGACACTTGGGTCTCGAACTGTCGAACTACAGACTGTCTGGTCTGCAGCTCAGTGCCTTAACCTCTAAGCCACCGTGGCCCCTTTACATCTATTATACATAGTGTCATATAACCACTCGGAGGCCGGCAATCCTATGTGGAGAAGCACAGATCCCATGGCATTTGCTGATACTGTTAGGTAAAGGTAAAGGTTCCCTTGCTCGAAAGCCAGTCGAGTCCGACTCTAGGGTTGCGGTGCTCATCTCCGTTTCAAAGCCGAAGAGCCAGCGCTGTCCGAAGACGTTTCCGTGGTCATGTGGCCGGCATGACTAAATACCAAGGCGCACGGAACGCTGTTACCTTCCCACCGAAGTGGTGCCTATTTGCAATTTCTTGCTTTCAACTGCTAGGTTGGCAGGAGCTGGAACTAGAGACAGGAGCTCACTCCATCAAGCGGCACACTCAGGTCTTGAACTGCTGAACTACCGACCTTCCACAGCCTGCAGTTCAGCGTCTTAACCACTTGAGCCACCGCAGCTCAATTACCATAGCACTAAAGAAGAGACTAGGTAAGGTATGTCAAACATGAAGCCCAGGGGCCGGATCAGACCCCCGGAGGGCTTCTATCAGGCCCGCAGTGGAACTGGGTATCTTCTGCTTCTTCTTCTTCCAGTTCTGCTGCTTGTCAGGTAGCCCTGTCATGGATCTGGAATGTGGAGGGGTGCCCTCCTCCTCAGCTCTTCCCTGTCCAGCTACTGTGCACTGTCTCTGGCTTGACCTTGTAGTCTCCAGCTGCATTTACTCTGCTGGGAAAGTAATGGCTTTTCGCTGTGCCCGCTTGCTTGCTTTTGCCCACGCGCGTGAACTATAATCATTGGCTTCAGATGAATGGGGGGGATGTTTGATTTCACTATAAGAGGACCTTATACTGACGGCCATTCCTGACACAAGCTGTATACGTGTTCTTTAGTACTGGAATCACTAATAAAGCAGTTATCGTCTTCTGAAGCCCTGTGTGGTGTGACCTGCCTAAGGACCCTGACACTGCTGCTGCGTCATCGTAGGTTTGCAGCCTACTGATATACACCTGAACAGCATACTCAAGATTGCAACAGCGCAGGCATTTTGATGCAATAATTCAGAGCAAGAGGTGTCAGTTATCAGACACCGTTAAATAAACAAAATACAGCAAGAGTGCTAAATGTTTTAAGCATGTTTTTATTTTAAGTAAGGAAAAAACCACCCTTTGTGTTTGTGTCCTTTATAAAGTTTATATCTCCGCTCCCTGGCATTACCTTTTATGACACACCCGGCCCGGCCCGGCCCGGCCCAACAAGGTCTCATTTATGTCAGATCCGGCCCTCATAACAAATGAGTTCGAGGCTTCCGGTTTGGCTAAGATGGAGGACTGAAGCGTTTCGCGATCGTGCGAAGCGGGCGACGGCCACTTTCGACAGTTTGGGCAACATATAGCCCAACGCATCACTCCCCAGCGAGGGGGGGGGGACAAGCAGGCAGCGGCGCCTAAGAGGGAGTGTGAGGTTGGCGTAATCCAGCTTCGGAAGAAGCTGAATTGGTCTTTGATCTCCTCCCACGAAGAAGGCAAGTGCCAAGCAACTCTATAGTGGCCGATCGAGCCGGATTACCGGCATAAATTCTTCATCAGCCGACCTCTTTGTAGAAGGACAACAACTGTGAGTTAAAAGAAGCAATGCGAAACCCGTTTTGAACGTGCTAGATAACAAAAACGTGCCGCTTACCTGAACTGAGTTTTGAGCTAATTTGAATTAAGCGGTTGAGCGGAAAATGAATAGTAAATCCCAGAAATCCGATTCCGGAGAGAAAAAAGTTGATTGAAGTCTTTAAAAACTGTAAAAACGCTTATTGTTTAACATTCCTGTGGTGAAGATTGGGACGTGTGTGCAACGGCAAAATCGAAACTTACGAACAATATCGTGGGAAGTGCAGGCTTGTGTAACAAAGAAAGAGGTCCGTGTGAAACAGCCAGGAAGATGAATTCCTAGACGGGCATTAGCGAAAGGAAGACAGTGGAATCCTTAAAGGTGCCGGACCGGAAGTGAGTTTTATGCGGAAGGAAGGGCCTGCAAAGTACCAATCTGACCTACTCTACACGAAATTACCATAGAGAAGTTGCGCCCGACATTTT